TATACTAATATATTTATCAAATAATATCATTCAAGTGGACAGTCATTCGTGGCAAAAGCCTGGATGTCATAAAGTCGGTGAGTCATACATTTAAAGTAATAATTTCAATACTTATAATAATTTTATTATTATAATATGGGATTCCCATATAAAAATAACTGTAATACTATTGTATATTATTTATACATTAAACACTGTACACTATACCAGTATACTAATGGCATCCCAATATATTCAGTAACTAAATTAAATCCCTATAGATTATTGTTAATATAATTTTTAGTTTTAGTAATGTAAAAAAATTAATTAAAAAATAAACTTATAAAACATGTAATAAAAAATATTAATTTTGTTAACTTTAACTATCAACTAATTAAAATATTAATAATTAGTAATTAWAGCCTAATTCAAGATAATTATTATCAGCAAAAAAAACAAAATTAATTTTAGTATTCCATTGACAGAAAGTATTTTAAAAACTCCTTATTTTGGGTCAACTTTATTACAAGAGATCAGATAAAATGATAAGACATAGAAAATTACTAAAAAGATTATTCGCATGAAATGAAAATTTTAAATTATAAAAGTAAGAAAAAAATAAAAATAACAAAATAATAATAATAATAATAATAATAATAACATCTATTTATTAAGTGAATACAACTTCTTATATATAATATAATCAAATACAGTATTACTAAAGAAATTCAAGTATGAAAACATAAGTACTGTATTATCAAAACAGAAAATATATAAATTTTTTCTATTTTTATAAAATCTTATAAACGTGTCGATCAAAGTTAAGATTTCAAATTATTATTTGACATACATTTTGACAAATCGTATATATTTGAGACAATTTATTCAAAACAAATTGCATTTTCCATAACACATAACATATTTTCAGTGAAAATTGAAAAATATTGTGTATACCATAAGATGTTTTCAAAACATATTTATTTACTATATTATATATATATATATATAAATTATAAAAGTGATATTTATTACTTAAGTATATATATATATATAATAATTTATCTGATATAAATCTAAAAATAAAGTATTCAAATGTTAGAAATTGTTTTAGTTATGTTTTTTAAATACTGTATAAATATGTAGAAATGATAATTTAAGTAAAATTTTTGTAGAATATAACGTTATATAGAAAATACAATATAAATACTTATTATATAAATATTTAAATAGTTATATCGATATATAAGATGTTTGCCATTATTTGTATTCAACTCCAACCTACAGGTCATACACAGAGGATAAGTATTCCCGATTGCGTTGAGTTTGATATCACGACAAACGCCTGCAGAGGTTATTGTGTGTCGTTTGCCATTCCCTCCAATGAAGCGACTCTTAGAGTGAATGCCAACCAAATGGTCACATCAGTCGGTCAGTGCTGTAATATCATGGAAACAGAAGACGTAAGTTTCAATTTTTATTATAATTATATAGTGTTTGTAATAATATTTTAATAATTGTTAATTTATTATCACTTAATATTATTATAAACGTATATATATTGTATTGATTACTTTACATCAATCAAATTATTCACTTATACAATGTAAGTATAGGTAATATAGTATTATAGATACTGTACTCTCTAAACATAATTAATAAGTTTAGAGTCACAAAAAAGGTACTATAAATTTAATTTTAATTACTGATAAAATACTGTATTTCACATAAGTTTAGTCAATTTGAGTTTACAATTGTCGACAAATTATTGTAATATTTGTTTCGGACAACAATTGTCTCTATCATTCATCAGCGCATTGCTGTGCAATATTAACAGCACTGTTGGTGTTTAGGTTACTTACTGTGAGATAATGAGCCGAATAATTAAATTATATTATTTTTATAAGTTTATATAAAAATATATAATAATATACAAATTGTAGGTATACTGTAGTATATACTTAGAATAATAATTTTAATCTTAATTTCCATATAAATATCTATTTATAAATTTACGAAAATATTTTAAAAACTTGTAAAATGTTTTAAATTTTCAAATATAAATAGTATATCTAATTTAAAATTTTACTATTTTTATCCAAATATTTGTTTATTTTTATAATAATGTAAATATGAAATTATGTCAAAACATTCAGCATCTGTTTAATAATTTATTTATTAAAATTATTATCATTACTAAAATAAAATAGGTATGGATATACAGTATATAAATTTATATTAATACATCACACAATTTACTATATATATATATATTAAAATTGTGTTTAACTATAAATATAGCTATATATATATATATATATAATATTATAATAGAAATAGTAGAAAGTCAGACTCTCTTTATACAATACATGCAAATTTTAAACAAACATTTATATAAAAGTGTTTAAATTATTATATCATATTTTATATTCATATCAATATTATGGTTTGTATTGTATTATAATATGATATATGATTTGATAAGAATAAAATACATAAATAATATTTATATAATATTACATGAAGTATATTACAGATAAGTTTTCTTGTTTTTAATCTTTAAATAGACTATTAGATGAAAAGTAATTTCTAAAAATATAATTTTTTTATATAGTTTATTATCGTGAAAACAAAGTACAGATATTAACAGTATATATAAATATATATATAAGCTATGTTTTATAACTTTTCCACCCATTTATGCGTTTGATTTAATGGCTAGTGTGTGAATAAGAGAGAGAGAGAGAGAGAGAGAGAGAGAGAGAGAGAGAGAGAGAGAGAGAGAGAGAGAGAGAGAGAGAGAGAGAGAGAGTTATAATAAGAATTGAATTTTTGCATAAAATAAGTTCATTTATTATATAGTTTTTCCAATAATATTCATATACTGTATATATAAAACAGTTTTTAGTAGACATAGTAGACACACGAGAGGATAAGGGTTGTACACATAATATTAAGGATTCATGTTTTGCTAAACTATTTAATCGATGTTTATGTCTTCATCACATGATTTATGTCCACAACATTATCGTTATTATGATAATAACAATCACAATGTCTTAATCAATGTCACTTCAACTGAATAACTAATTGTTTATTAACTTTCATTTTCTATAAATACACTCATTTGAACAGTTTTATAGCATTCAAATGATTTTTTAAATACAAAATCTCTAAATATAATTACACAAACTGAGACTTGATAAGAAAATGTTAATTTAACTTTATTTATAATACAATTTGTATCTATAATTAAATTACAAAATAGCTATTTTTAGAATCTTTATAATTTAAACCTAAAATAATATTGAAAAACTTATTAGTTTTAAATAAATGTTACAAATATTTATAACTACAATTCATAAAAATGTTAAGAATTTATTTTTAATAAAAATGATAATTAAAAGCTTTTAATAAGTATTGATTAGAAAAAATTAAATTATTTATATAATAATAATAATAATTTTGGGGACATACTTAACTAGCATCCGTACAATTGGATAATAATGGATAAACTAAATGTAGACATTATTAATATTATGAATATTATGTTAACATTTAGCTATTACGCCCATTACTGTGGATTAGGAGGAGGATTGAGGTTAAATAATTAATACAATATCGTATTGAGTATTATTTATACAATAACTATTATTAACCATAGTTTCAATATATTGTACTATTAAAATATTAAATATTTAAAAAATACTATAAATACATAAATTTGAATTATTTATAATGTTTTTTGCGTGTTTTACTTGAATTATTTTATATTTATAGTTTTTGCAAACACCCTCTCATTTAAATTAATATTTATAAAAAAAATTATTTAACTGTAAATATTAAATGTAAAGATATTCAAAAGATATTGAGTATAAAAGATTACGAATCATACAATTTGATGTAATAAACACAATACCTTAAATAAATAAATGTATATTATTTTATACTACACAATATACTGTATTTACTGTATATATTTATATAACCATTATTAATACCATATTTGATTATTATATAGTTATAATTAGAATATAAATATTTGCTTAAAAATCTATTAATAATTATCTCACATAAATAAATTTATACTTTTTGATCTAAAAAATATATAACTATTCTTAGACACATTTTGTTTAAATTAATTTTTTTAAATATTTTTTTTTGTTTAATTTTAAGGTCAAAGTTCGTGTTATGTGTTTGGAAGGAGCGCGAGATTTAGTGTTCAAATCGGCCAAAACGTGTTCATGTTTTCACTGTAAGAAAAATTAATGGAAAAAACTTATTGAATTTCTAATTAAAAAAAATAATAGTCATTATCTCATTAAGTGATTACTATTGTTAATACATACTTGTATTTACATAAGAAATACATTATATTATATATATGATATATATAACTATATTGCTATAAAAATATATGGATCTCTATATATTTCACAATATATCGACTCAAACAACGCACCATTTAATAGTCTTATTATGTTTTAGTAATTTTAGTTTTATATTATTTAATACAAAGTTTATATTTAGTGTAATATAAAGAATTTGTTTTTAATATTATTATTATTATATATAAATATCATTAATATATTATTTATTTGTATAATTTTTGTAGTATTTATATTATTTACTCATATGTTATTAAATCACGATTTATGTAAATAAGAGTATTTATAAACATTTAATTTATAAATGTAATTAACATATTATTTAATATATTATTATATTTATTAATAATTTGTTTAATTTTAATAAATTGTAGTTTTTATTTAGCTAATGTAATATAATTAATGTGAATAAATAAATATTACTTTTTTTGTTACAAATTGTTTGTAATTTATTATAAATTATTTAATTATTTAATATAAAAAATAAGAAGTAACTAAATTAGAAAATTTGATATAATTAGATAAAAAAATGACTAAATTTATTAATAATTAATCTAAAGTATAAGCATTATACAATTGAAACTGTCCGAAATTATAACAAATTTTAAAGTTAATTTATTCAAAAACTACAAATGATTAATTATCATAATATTCGCCACCAGTTTCGATAATTCTTGCCCAACGTGTGGGTAACTTTTCAATGGCTTCCAAATATGTCTTCTGCTCTTTTTTGGCAAAAAATATTTTGATGGCATTTTCGACCTCATCTTTGTTTTGGAAGCGATTATCGTCCAAATAATTTTGAAGAGCCAAAAACAGATGGTAATCAGTTGGAGCAATATCTGGGCTATACGGTGGGTGAAGCATGACTTCCCATCCAAACTCCTTTAGTTTTTCTCGGGTAATATTTGCGACATGTGGTCTGGCATTATCGTGATGAAAGATAACACCTTTTCTGTTGACCAATGCTGGCCACAATTTAGTCAGAGAAGACTTGACTCTTTCTAATTGTTGACAATAGAGGTCCGAGTTTACGGTTTGGCCAACATTCAACAGTTCCCAGTGAACAATACCCTTAATATTCCACCAAACACAAAGCATAACCTTTTTTTGGTGCAAATCTGCTCTTGGAGTCGGAACTGCCTTTTCTCCTTTGCTTAACCATTGACCTTTTCGGGTGACATTGATGTATAGACACCACTTCTCATCACCAGTTACAATTCGGTCAAGAAATGCCAAATTGTTGTTACGTAAAAGCAAAGATTCGCAGACAGTATCACGATATGTTTTTTGTTCGGGTGTCAATTCATGTGGTGTCCATTTCCCGGCTCTGTATCTTTTGCCAATTGAATGCAAATGACTCAAAACTGTGTTGTAATGCAAGTCAAATATGTTGGCCAACTCTTGACATGTCAACTTTGGATTTTCTTCAATCATTTTTGCCAGATTATCCTCGGATATCTTTGGTGATGCACCGGGTCTTTGTTTGTCTTCCAAATCAAAGTTACCGCTTCCGAATCTTTGAAACCATCGCCGTACAGTCCTATCGGTGACCACTTCAGGATACACGCCATTGATATGTCGAGCGGTCTCAGCAGCACTTAATCCACCGCGAAAATCAAATAACATGATGTGTCGGATATGGATGTCATTCGCGGAAACGGCCATCATTGGTAAATCACAATAGATATCAAAACAAATGACAATTAAATTTGAAGACTGGTAATCAATTTATTCAAATAACAACAAAAAACTTTGTTTACACTAATACCCGCTTTACAGTAATAACGTAAAGTTTGTTGTTTTAAAATGGACATTACTTGTTGTATAATGCTTATATAAATAAATAAATAAATAATAAATGATGCTACAATGTAATAAGATTGCCATGGGCAATTATATTTCCCAACTCTAATCAAAACATAGCAAACAAACAAAAAATATGATTTTTTTACTTAAGTGTAGAGTTTATGTTATAAATTACAAACCAGTAGTTATTTATTTAGAAGATATACACGACTAGAAGTTAATCAATTTTTTATAAATTTTTATCAAAATGTTTGGTTTGTCCTTAAATGCCACTACAGTGCACATCAATAATGTATATTTTAGTTTAAATTTTTAAAAAGTTAAGTATATTTTAAATTTAATTTTATGGAAAGTATAAGACTATGTCATAAACTTGTACTTAAGTTATAAAAAAATGTTTTAACAATATTTTTTGTGGTTTGTTTTATAATTAGTATTATATTGCATTAACGTAAGTATTATAATTAAAACGATTGTTTTTTAACATTACACAATCTAAATCTCAGTAGAGTAATATTTAAATATAATTAAAATATAAAATTATATAATAATATATGACTATAATATATTTATGCATTTTTTAATTAAAACATACTTATAAAAGATCCTAGTGTTTTTTGCGAAATAAATAAATTACAATACACAAACAGTGTAGTATATTATATATTTTGAAGCACCTATGTAAATTGACTAGTTTTRACATGGGTTAGTTTACACAAAATTGACCAAGATCATGATCATGATCAGCACCTGACGGAGATATAAAATTTTGATCTCTCAGTAATTTTTTGTAAACTTCGAGATATTATAAGAATAAAATACTTTAAATTTTATTATTTTACTTTTGAAGACTATAACRACAACTAATTTTGTAATTATTAAAAAAGTATAAAAATGTTTAGCATTTTAAAAAAAGTTACTTTTAATTAACATCTTTATTTCAAAACAATTCATAATTATTATAAAAATTAATCAATTAATAAMTTCTAGAGATATTAAATATTTAATATAAATTGTAATTCACATTCAAAAATTATTAATTATATACAATTATTATTAAATTTTGAAATAAATAATTGAAGTTTAATTGGAATTTTTGATTCTAATWTTTATATTAATATAATAATAAAATGCAAGAAAAACAATTTAATTTAAATACAGTTTCATTAAATATTGCATAGATTACGTAAATAAAGTATTTGTAATATTAATAAAAAATGATTTTGTTATAAATATTTGTATAATTTGAATATTGTTTTAACTGTCATATGACTGACTTAATTTGTAATGAACATCTAAATAATGAACTTAATTAGCTTTTATAACACATATTTTTAGCCACTATTACTATATTAAAAAAACCAAACTATAGTACGCCAACTGATTATTAATATGTTATAATACAATATTTAACCAGTTGAGAATGCTAAATAGCATTGCCAWAACAAACTTGTAAAAAATAATCAAATTGTGTCTAAAGTATATTTCTTTATACATTTTACGTTTTACAAAAATCAAATAATAAAATATTAATATATAAATTTAATAAAGATAATGCTACATTTTCGGCACCTATACACTCATTCTCACTCATTTCTACGTAGATATACTATAGTTTGTACACATATTTATTCAAACATACTGTATATGACTGAATATAAGTAAAATTAATATTAAAATAAACGAATCATTTTAGTAATACACTATTGATTAAACAAACATTTTATTTTCATTTAACCATGTTAAATTTAGATAAACTAAAAAAAGATATAGTATAAAAGTTATACTCTATACGTTTATAAATTTAGTTTTTACTAACTATTTATTTATTTTTGAAATTAATATGATTTTGTATAAATTTGTTTATCCTTTATTTTTATATTATTTTATAATTTATTTAACTTATTTTTTACATTTACATATAAACTTGTAAGTTTTTATTAATAGTAATTTAATTAATAATTAATAAACTAAAGTATTTTGAAACAATTACTATAATGTCATTTACACATTTTTATTGGTGGTAATGGCTTAACATTATATACAAATATGTATGAACTCTAAAAATTTTATTTAMTATATTATAAATGTCTATAAAATTTGAAAACAATTTGAAATTAGCTGAGATTATTGACATTGGTATTTAATAAATTTATTGAAATATTTAGTGAGGTAAATGGCTTCAAAATTTACAGAATCTTTAATAATGTAATTGCTATTTGTTTTGTTAACTTTATATTATTAATATATTATATTGTGTATTATTTTTATTAATATAATAGAATGGGAGACAATATTTAAATTACTTTAAATGTCTAAAGTGTTGATTACTATCAAAAATTTAATTATTTATTAATTTATAATAAATTATATATTATCACATTTTATTATAATGTATTAGATTGTGAATTTAATAATATATCCGGAATATATAAATATAAAATTTAATATATTATTAATTTAAAAGTATTATTAAATATTATACAACAAAATTTTAATATATATACATAATTTAATATTTGCTGTATTGTAAAGAATTTGATAAACAAGTTTGTTATGAATTATTGATTTCTATTAAAATAAAATAAAAACTATATGTCTATAAATAGCAATATATACTATAGATACTTTAATGTGTTTATTTTAAAAATGATTGTTATCAATACAATGATTTATTTACTTTTATAAATTATTTTATAAACTTTATTACAGTTGATTCCGATATAACTGTTAGTTTGTAAAAAACAATATATTTTATGATTAATTATACTATTAATTCAAATCCTTGAAACACAAAAATGGTTAAACTTATAAATACGTTTTGGCAGTTCATTAATGAAACAAACATTTAGCGTACAATACATCACAAAATAGGGACAAATCCATGGTTTAACTTACATACTATAGTATTGTGTTATTATTTACGGTTAAATATATTATATCTATTTTTTGTGTCGAAAATAAACAAAACAAAAAAAACTATATTTTTCTATTTCATTGATAAAGCTCTCAAAGTATTAAAACTTGTCATCAATTATGAAATTCATGTACTCTATAAAGCACTCTAAGATTCTGTCATTGTTTCATGTGATACAAAATAACAAAATTATGATAAAAATCTTAGAATAATAATAATAATAATATTTATTACAATACAATACCGCAAAAAAAGACATTACATTTGTAGTTATTTTTCTGACATTCTATTATTTGTTGTTAATTATTAAAGTCATTGAAATGTATCAAATGTTATACAACTAACCAAATGATTATAATAGTAATGCCGACACACATTGATATAGTGTTCAACTAGTGTTCAAAATATTATATAGTATTTCCAAGAAATTTGTTATTATTATTAGAAATACTTATCCGATCAAAAGTCATGGAGAWATTACATTGTATTATTTGCTTATTGATTCAAATTTACATATATGCAAATCAAATAAATTGACAATAAACTATATGTATTATATTATTAAAAATAATAATAATAAATCTTTTAATAATAATTTTAAAAATAACTTTAAAATTCAAAGTAAAATTATTGTCTAAAATATTATTTGTATTTTTTAAATGATATATATATATATATATATATATATATATACTGTAATTACTTTATGTGACAATATTAAAAAAAATAAATATCGTAAAAATTTCATTCATTTAAATTATTTTTATGTATATATTTAAATTATACAGTAAATTAGTGACAATAATTAAAGCTTTAATCTTAATTTTAATTCACGTAACATTCAAATGTATGCGATTAGGATATACTATACTATTGTAATGACTTCATTAGTAGTTCAGCGCACAAATCAATTCACTAAACAATTAACTCATTTTCCATATAATTATAATAACACATAAAATTGTAGTTTTTTTGTGTTTTTGTTACTCTAGTATAAAAAACTCCAAYGACTCAAATATAACTATAGTGTCGGAAAAAAGAGAAATTTCTTGAAAGTTTCTAAAAGAAATTTCTGTCTSTGCGATCTCAATGTTAATTTTATTCTCTCAATATTAGTTATTTTATAACAATAAATTATGATTACAAATAATAATTAAATATTATTATTTGTATTTTATTTAATAATTAAGTAATAATATCATTATTTTAATTAAAAATTAATGTAAAAAATTAATCTTTAATTTTATTAAAATATAAATATAATTAATAAATGATTAATAAAATTTTACTAAACTATAATTATAATTATTTTATATATAGGTATCACATTTGTATAGTATATATATATATATTGTCTTATTGATATAATATTACAATGTGGGGTACAATATGAGGATCCCATAATTTAATAATAAARTAAAATTTCTATAGAAATTTATTATTGGGAAATTTACTAGAAATTTTCTCAGGGAATCTCTAAATATAACATTTTACAGTTAATGTATACACATGTGTATTAAAGTAATTTTTTGAGAGACATAAATGAAAATATTTTAATTAAAATAAAACAAATTGTAAAAATAAATTGGATGCAAATAAAGCTTTAAGAATTTACTAAATTTATTTTCAAAATTTTAATAATTGTAAAAATTTATAAAAGTAAAATATTAATACATAAAGCTTTTAAAACAATGAATGAATAAAATGAGACTAAATTGATATATCATATAAAGGTGTGATACCTATAAAATAAAGTAAATTCTGATCACGTTTTACAACAAATGCTTAATTTATAACTGAATTAATGAATATTTTCACTTTTATAGGTAAAACTAAAATGAAAATATTAAAATTGTAAAATATGTCTAAAATTATTACTAAATTTCAAAATAATTTTTTCTATTTCATGATAATATTGAACAATATTTACAAAACTTTTCTTAAAATTTTATATTAATATTAATATTAAAACATATACTTAATATTATTATACTTATATATAATATATAATTTATTATTGTATGATATTCATAATAATTAAAATTAATGAACATTTTATGGCTAATGTGCGTAACATTACATTAGTCTACAATTTTATCAATAATCCAATTATGGAAATATACCTGTATATCGTAAATTATTTTTAATATACAATACTAGCTATATTTAGATAATCATAAATATAATTCATTGAAATGTGACTTTATTGAACTAATAAATTCAAATTTAAGTTTTATTTGTAGATATATTAAATATTTTGTTAGATTTTTTAAAAATCTTATAAAATTGTATAAATAAAATATGAAAATTAACAACATTATTTAATAATTCTATTTCAATTCAATTCAATATAATTATTAAAATTTATTATTATAAACTAGATATTTTGAACATTATAATAATATTTATAATAATAATAAATTTTCTTCATTAAGTTAAATTTTAAAATAGTATTACAAAATACTGTATATTAAATATTATATAATAAAGTTAAAATCAATGTTTACAAAAACAAAATTAACATTTAACCTTATATGTAATAAAATATTAATTAATTATTTTTATTTTAATAATCAATTATTAAAAATTTGTTATATATAAGTTACATAACTAATACAATTATGTATATAGTATAAAAAAGCTTGTTATACTGTATAATAATTAAATAAATTTTAATGAAATAAAAATAATTATATTGTTCATGTAATGATTACGTAATTTACATTAATGTAGAGTTTTATTATTTTGAAATTTATATTTTAATGTAAATTATTTTAATATATGATACCTATTATAATATTAATTTAATTTAAATTAAATACATCTAAAGATATTTAAGTTGAAAAAATATTATTTAAATATTATTACTTTATATTTATTATAGTCAGTTGAATGATTTTTGTTAATAGTTAATAATATACTGTACTATAATTGTTTATATTTAAAAAGTCAATAATAAAGTTCATAAATATTACTTTTTAATAAAATTATATATGCTTTAAATTTTATAAATGTTTAAATTTATATATTAAAATGTATAAAATTTATTTCTAAAATATTTTTAACTTAAAAAATACTTACAAAAACTATAATGATTATTTATGTTAMACTAATAAATAACTACAATATGTGAAAATATTACATTATATAGTAGTCGCCTAAATGATTGTTTAGACAAGTTTTCTAAATTTTATAATATTGTTACAAATAAGAGTTAAAAATCTAAAGTTAACATATCATCTGTTTAAAAATATATTTGCCTTTTATTACCACATTGTTTTAACTAATTTTTATTTAATAAAAAACATATAAAAAACAAAATAAACACTTATTATAATTTCTGAATCAAATACAATATTGTCTAAAATTATGTCTATTTTTATCTTCATCTAATTAAAGCCAAATAACATTTTAAAATATTAACATAAATCAATGAAAATCATAAGATATAAAATACAATTATTAACAATTGTCAATATAATACTCTCATAATCTAAAAAATTATATTTATATTTTATTAAATTTAATATTTTCTCATTGAATTAACATGCAAATAGTTTTGCAGTCAAATCAAAATAAATAAAATATTTTTTTTAGTTTATGAAAGTATTATATTAACAAATGTGACAAATAGTCTTATTAAAGATGAGTTAATCTATTAAATGACATCACATATCAAGCCATTAATCATAATACACGTGCAATGGGACGCACTGTACTTAACTTTTTTTTGATGAATTGTATGTTTTGTATATTTATAAGTTTCTACTAATGATAAGTATTAAAAAATTATAAAAAACAAATTTCTATTTTAATGAATAATTTTATCTAAAAACTTAAAATTATTGTTATGTGAAATAATTTCAAAATACTTTATTATTTGTCTTATTTTCTTATTCATTATCTATCAATTTTATATTTATTATATCAATTGACATTTATACTGAAATACTATAATTGATTTGAATTAAATATGATGTTTCAATAAAAAATAATCGACTTAATTTTTTATTATATTATTTTAAAATGTGTTATTAAAAGCATCTAAAAATTTGTTTAAAGAAATTACAATAAAAACTATAACATATTGTGAAAAATGCCATTTTTATATTTTTTTACAAAAAACAAGAAGATTTTCAAATATGACCATGATCATTTACATAATTGTTAGGCGAATATCAATGAAACAAATGCCAAATATCATGATTTTATATCATTTATAGTTATTAAATAAATTAGTTTTCAAATTTTGTTTCCTCCGCAAAGTAATTATACACTATTATACAGTATTAATACAATACTTATATCATAGTTATAAATTAAATTGAAATTTTCTAAATAATAAATAAATTACAATTAAGTTTTATTAATACTTTGTAAATAAATTAGATATAACTTATATCTTGATAGGAGGTGTGGGAGGAATAGATTTATTTAGGATTTCTATAAATCTTAATATAATTTATAAATTGCTGATTTGTTATATATATTATTAATTTTTTATTGTAGTTAAATAATTAAAATTAAAAAAATATTTGATATTATTATGTTGTTTGATAAATCTAATTTAATTTTAAATTTTATTTTATTTTCAAAATTATTTTACATTGTTTAATTTTGTACTTACATTTTGTTTTTTTATTTTGTATATATATATATATATATATATATATATATATATATATATACTGTTTATATATTACTTATACAATTAAATTTATTTAAATAAAACAATATATTCTGATAATTGAATCAATAATTTAATGTCGAAGTCATTTTATGCAATATTAACAAAAAAAGTATTAGTTAAAAAATATAAGTTTTTATACTAAAAATCAATAAAAAAATTTACATATTTATTATATTTTATGGTAAACGGTGTATTAAAGAAGATTTTTATTATTATATTATTTTACTTATATTTCTAATCAATATGTTTTAAAACAAAAAAGCTTTGACTTTATTGTTATTAAAAAAACAAAGACATTGATTAAAGAGGAGAAAGAAATACAAAAATTTCTGAATGTAAACAAAAATACTAAAAGTCTGGTAAACATAATATTATAGGAAAAAGTTATTTTTGGTAACAATACTAAACATTTTATTGAAAAATGTATTAATCAACAGGAAATTTATTGATTCAAATATTAAAGATGGTATTCATTATTATTATTATATTATTATTATTGTAGTGTATTAATTTTAATTTTATTTAGTTTTATACAAAGATTTTATTTATTTTTTAAATATATATATATATAATAAATAACTATTTAAATAAATATTTAATAATATAAAACAACATAATTATTCATAAATTTTAAATAAGATAACATTACTTTTTTTGTTAAACCAATAATTTTTTAATAATTAGTATATATATATATATATATATATATATATATATTATATATAAATAGTAACCTAATAATACATAAATGTTATAATTCTTATATTTAACTATTATATATATATATATATATATAATATAATATTTTGAAAAACATATTATTTATAATGAAATATATTTACGATTAATTATTAAAAAGATGATAAAATGAGATAAAATCAATAAAATTAAATAATATAACTGGTAATGACATAAATTATTGGTTTATAGACATTAATAATTAAATATTTATAAATTTTTCTTCAAAATAATCATCAAATGATCGAATGTATTATACAATAATTTCATATATATATGTATGTATATAATGAGCTTTACATTTATCGGATCAATGGTTGTGGAGATTTTCATAGATTATCATAAATTTATATTTGAGTTATTAGTGCTGATTATTATTATTATTACTTTTATTATTAATATTATTGATGTTGTTTTGTAATGCAAAACTTGCCGCAAATACAGTACAATTATACAGTACTCAAAATTAGTAGTAAAACACAGCGTATTTGCTCCCAATTCACATATCTATCAGACCATGGCTTACAGTTTACAGCCAAATATCTGGTTATTAAAACATTTACTGTATTATAGTTATTAAAGATTTTTTTGTGAATAACAACTTAAAAAATAGATAACACATAAACAAACTATTATTTTGTACGATATTTAACTCTAAATATTAATAACATTTATAATTAGTCAAAATATTATTATTATTGTTGTTATTATTAGAATTTTCCCCTCAAAATGAGGCACAGAATATACATTATATATAACGTTGAATGACATCAAACATATATAGAAAGCAACGGTGTCTTCATTATATCATTTATTCAATCGGACACACAATGACAGTGCAGTTATGACAGTGGACAGGGATTTCATATGTGTGTKTGTGTGTGTGTGTGTGTGTGTGTGTGTGTGTGTGTGTGTGTGTGTGTGTRTGTATGTGTTTGGTATGTTTGATGAGATGTTTTTATAAAACTACTAAAACTGAAAGGTCAACATCGATAACAACTACAAACAAATTTTTATTTTTAATATTTTTTTGTTGTGAAAAATGTCAAAATAAGTGTGTTGTTGATGTCATCAACATAACCACCAAAAATGTTATATTATATATATATATATATACGATAAAAAAGAAAACATTTGATGATTTTTTTCATTATTATTATTATCAATATATATATATATATAATATATATAAAACATCTTTTTTTTTGTTATTTAAATGTTATGTGTGAGAGACGTTTGTAAATAAGATGTTAAATATAAATAATAATAAGTAATAAATAAATTGCTTTTTTAAATATACTAAATGACTATTATATTTATGGCGTAAGAGTTCCAACAGATGAGACACCTTCACAACTGACGGTCGATGTGTGACACGACTGACAGACACACGTCAGCGCTTCCTTGTATTCATAATACCGGAGACCGGGAGGAGAGTCGGGATCGCAATGCTTGAGCCGTATTCGTCTAATTCGGGTCCTGTCCTGAATGCAAACCGGATGAAAGGATCGCTTGTATGGGAACCTCCAGTCGGCAATCTGTTGAATCATTTTAATATTTATATTATATCTCTAATTAATAAAATAAAACTTTCAATTTTAGTCTATTCCTAAAATTAAAGTAACTTTTAAAAAATATATTTAATTTAATTCTTAATTACCTAAATTACTAAAAAAATATTATAATTATAATTGGTATAGAATTAATAAACAAATAACATTTAGTTACTGTAAAATATTGTATGCTTAAATAAAAGTTATTATGAAATTTTAATTTATAATGGATAATAATTATTATTAGTCTGAAATAAGAAAATTGTAAATAATAATGTATTTCTTAGCAAATTATAAATCATATTTATTTTATTTATTATTAATTTTATTAGTTGTACTCTATTGTTTATAATAATAAAATACAATAATTGCATATTATAATATATTTACAAACGTGTGTGCATTAAATATTCATTTTCGGAAATAAATATAAACACTAATGTGATAATAGTTGTCATTTAAAATGTAATAAAGTATAACAATATTTGATTAAATTTTAGATTATTGTTATACATCCTGAACTTCAATATATTATGCAATTGATTGCATTTGAAAATGTTATTTTGTTATAGAATTTTAAAAAATTATATTAGATGTTTTAATTCATAAATTATTAAATGTTTGATTTTTAAACTAATTATAGATAAGTGTAAAAATTTTATTACTAAGATATTTTTATTATATAATTATAGATAACAATAAAGTATAATATCTTAATGTTTTTATATTGTACCGGTATATGTTAGATATGCTTTAAGACTCAAAAATTGCTTTTAAGGGAAATAATAAAATAAATATAATTCTCGTATAAAATTTATACCCATTGGTGAGACCCTAAAGACATAATAACTGAATTAAATTAGCCAAACATTAATCCAATATTTTTCGCTATAATAATTTGTTATTAACAATATATATAAATATTTTTATTTTATTTTGATAACAATTGTTGGCAAAATTTTTTTGAACATGCCAAATTACTAAAAAAATTTTAGCAAATAATAGCGGATATAAAATCGATTTTAATTATACAATGAGTACTATATTTTGAAGAATGAAAAAATCCTATTTTTATAAATTTGTATTATTTCAATATATTAAATATTTCAATTGATAAAATTAAATTTTTCTCAATTATGTTTAATAACAACTAAATAATGTTAGTTGTATAATAAACTAAAACTAAAACTTTTATATTGATATATTTTACAACAATATAGAGTACATGTAACCAAACATATGATTCACAAATTATTGACATATACTGTATGGAAGGCATAAAAAAATTGATTGAATAAGAAAAATATAATAATAAGATTTCATACAAAATCACTAATGCATTCCCCAGGTATTCATCACTTGAGGCACTCCATAGTTATAATGATTACAAAATAACTTAATTATCAGACTTATACAAACAATGTACAGTATATACAATTTATTGTATAAATTTATTTGAATTTTTTATGATATACCGGTAATGATAAAAATAAATCAAAATATCAGGTGTTATTATGTTAATACATGCAAAGATGCAAATGCAAGATAAAAGTAATCTCTAAAAAACAGTGATAGTATTGAATATGGTGTGGGAGATACAGTATTAGTCCAATCTTAAGACTCACTCCAATAGCATCACTACTTGTTTTTTTGTGAACCAAAATATAAGTAATCTTAATGTGTGTTAAGCTAATGACACTAATGGTGAAGACATCGGCTATTTATTAATAATCATATTAGCGATAAGTGATAATAAACATAACGTAAATGTAAATGTTAAACTTATTTATATGATATATTGTACTGTATTTATTGAATATTAAAGCTTATATATCTAATTTTTATTAAAGACCAATAAATGTCAAATATGATATATTTATCTTTTCTATTTATTTACATTTTTACAAAAAAAAATCCTAATATAATAAACCAAAATTTGTGTTTTTAACAAAATTATTAATAAAATTATATGAGTATATTTAGCAAATTGAACGTGTATATAGTTATATAATACTAAATATAGCATAAAGGTAATATTGATAATTAGTTTAGTTTATTTGGAATGTACACAAAATTTTCTAGAATTGTAACTAATTAATTGAAATTTAATAAAATTAATATATATTTATTATATACAATGTTGTACTTAAAATAGTCGCAACTAAAGTCATATGACAAATATAGTCAAAAATTGTAATTTAATAGACATAAAAGCTTTTTTTAAAAAAATTAATAATTTATTTCCTAGAAATTTGTTAAATTCTGTATTATAGGGTTGTATTCATATTTGATAACAAATATATAGTATTTATATTTACTGTACTAATATATTGTACTACATATATATATATATATATAACATGCAATACAATAACATGTAGTATAGAGCATATATAATAGATAAAAGTATTGTATGCCTCACCTCTCCGGAGTCACACCGACCCCAACAGGACATAGCGGTGATGTATTCCCAGCACTGGCGACCACTCGAGTCGGTTCGGGTGGCTTTGAATGTATACTCCCGTCGGTGGCATTCAAGTGTTTGTCGCGAATTGATAATTGGTTTGACTATATCCTTGTCTACTGTTGATAATTCATACGTGTAATGACAGCAAACCGTTATCCATATAACTATTGTTGGTATTAATATTTGGTTGTATTTTAACAACATTATTATTAGTATTATTATTATTGTCTTTTTGTGAGTATGTAATCTAAGTATATGTAAAGTTGATGTATATTAGCACAGGTAGTAGTTTTCCTGATATTTATTTCTTTTTTCCCTTAGTTTTTCATCCAGTTTGTACACATTGTGTACCCAAACTTCACGTCCAAACCGATATATGGCTGTAAATAAAGACAATTATTATTATTTTCAGTTTTGTGTTGTGTGTGTGTGTGTAATGTAAATAAAAATAACTATATTAATAAAATATGACTTTAAGTGACACATCTTGAGTGCACTTTCTCTAGACATTCACATATATATAATTTATAAACAGTATATAATAATACTGTATTTAGTTTATTGAATAAAATAATAGCAAAACATGACAAATGGTTAGCACATTATGTGTTTTGTCACTACAATTAGTTATTCACAACTATTGAAAGATAGTTTCAATCTTTAAGCGTAAACATACTATATATACAAAGTTATGTATTGTGTGTATGTATTGTGTGTGTCTAATGTGATGTATGTAAACGATGCGAAAAAAAGTTATCTCCTCAGAGATATTCACATGTTTTTCATCTACTGTTTCATTGTTTTCTCATATATTTCATGAATTGTAATCATAGCCCCAAAAATGTTGGGCTATTTTAATATAAACTTATGCTTATTATGTCATTTGTATGCGATTTACATTACTTAAAGTCACAATTTTTTGGTACTCAACAGATAAAAACAGATTTAACACTCATATATACGGTATATATTGCTATTAATATTACAGTCCTAATAAAAATGTACGTCAATAGTGTCTATCGATTATACCTTAAATACAAAGTAGTTTTGCAATAGTTTTTTGAACTCAATAACAATATAGTCGAAAAAATACAGAATTATGTGTACAAATATATGTTAAACTATAATATTTGCAAAACAACTTCAAATGTAAATTTAATAAAACAATTGTTTTGTCGAATGAATTTTAAGTTATCATAAATAAATGCAATTTAATCTTATTTGAGCTTTTATTTCACGTATTAAATCAAATTATTGTTTTGCTTAAAAAACTAGTTATTATTTATATTATTATTATTTATTATTATTGTTATTATTATAAAAAGTCAAAAATTAACTTTCATATTATAAAAACTATTTTGTATAATATATAGGTAAAGGTATGGGTACTTTTAAAAACAGATTAAAAAATGATAAATGTAAATAAATGAATAGAGAAATCAATAGTAAAATAGTTATAAACTTATTACATAAAACAAATATTTTACTACAAATCAAGTTTACTATTAAATTAAATTCAAATTTTTATTAAACTGTTGTTTTTCTATTTATTTTATCTTTATAATAATGTTATATAATTATAAATGTGTCATAAATATATTAAGTTCATCTTTGATAAATTCACTTGGTAATTTTAAGTATTTATAGTATATTATTTTGATTATTTATTCACCAATTATGTTTAATGATAATCATTGAAAAATAAGTACTAAACTTTTTTTTAAATAAAATTATTTGAATAAAATGTTCAATTTATTTTATATTAAAGATAATTAAATATAATTATATAAATTATAATGTACTTAAATGTAAGATAATTTTATTATAAATTATTTATGGTTATAATGTAAAATATAATTTAGTTCAAAATTTAGTAAAATAATGTTTATGATATATCTCGTTGTAATTATTAGCTTTTAAAATAAGATATAAGATTATTAGATTTTATACAGTTTAATGCATATATGTATGCATTCAATATATATCTAATACAATAATTTTTGTAAATATTTATAAATATTTTACGTCATATATCATTTAATTAAAATTTTAAAATTGATATACAAGTAATTTACTTCAACTTATAGGTAATCAGCCCCAGGTTGTAATGTCAAAAATCTTTAAATTTATTGAAAGTTTAATAAAATTTAAAATGTTTTTCAAAACAATTTTAATTTTTAGAAATAATTATTTAAATGATCTTATTTTTTAAGTATGAACTTTAATTATCAAAAGAATACTTATTATTAAAACTATTAATTAACTCAAAATTATTAATTAAAACATTACTATTACTATTATTTTTATAAAAAAATGTCACGTTTATTTAATTATTTTGTTTTATCTATAATATATATATATATTATTGTTTTTAGGATAATTGAAAACTTTAATGTAAATTGCAATGAAAACTCTTAAACATTACTTTAATGAAAAWAGTATTTATTATATCGACATTTATTATATAAAATTAATAACTAAAATACCGGTATTAATAGTGAAGCAATAATGATAATGTTGATATAGTATTATTAAAAAATAAATGTTTTCAAAAGATTTTTATTTATTATCTTATAAAAATAACTCTAATAGATATTACTATATTTATATTTCAATAAAATATTTATTTTGGATATTATACTACAGTTTATTACTTATTTTGTTATTACTATCACTACTGAGAAATGCAAAAACATGTTTTATTAATGTTAACATATAAAATATTATTCTGTTTAAAATTTATTATTTTTAAAAATAAACAATTTGTTTTTATTAAATATATGTTGACTGAATACAAAAAAAATATTCAAATAATCTACATAAGAACTTGTCATATTAAAAATTTATTTATATTGTGAATGTTCATGGTAAAACCAATATGAAAAACTACAATAAAAATATTTAAAAAATTTTGTTTAAAATTTTCATTATAATTATTTGGCAATTTAATCCAAATTAATTAAAGTTATATATAAAATTTTAAACAAAATTTTTTAATTTTTTAAAATTTGTCATATATTTTATATAATGATCTAAATTTATCGATTATTTATAAAATTTTAGAAATACCATTATTTTGCACATTTATGTATATGTATTAATTTAAATTTAAAATTCATAAGTAATTATTATTAATTTAAACCATGATAGTATTCAGTTTTCATTTTTTGTTAATAATTTTTTCATTACTTTTTATTTTAATAATGAATAAAAACAGGTATTAAATTAATTAAATTAAAATTGTCAATGTAGTTTAGTAAATTTACATATAATATCATATAATGCTTTAAATATTAATTATATTAATAAAAAACAAATTGTATTTTTTATTTGTCAATTACTTTCTATATATATTTACTTTTGTAAAATAATATATAAGTTGTTAATACGACAAATCCATTTCTTAACAATTATATGTTATGAGTCTCTTAAGAGATTTCACTCAAATTTACTATTTTTTTCAAAACTACATTTAAGTTTAATATAATATGTAGTTTTGTCGTGTATTTTAAATTATAGAACTTTGTTATATCATTGTTAATGTTTGTCTCAACATAATTGACATTTAATTTGAAAAAACTTCAAACTATAATATTTGTTGGCATTTGAGTCAACTATTTTTATTATTTTTTTAGTCTATCATTCTTTGGGCTATAATTGTTTTGTTGACAATTGAGAAGACATGTAAAATTAATTTGATTTTTTTAATACAACAATTTTTTTTAATAAAAAACAATTCATCATTTTTAGTAATAATATATATATATATATACAATATAATTTAATTTGCTTATTAATGATTTATGAATTGTATAACATATTACATAATTACATATACAGTATATAAACAAATTTTTTAAAAATATTTTATTAATATTTAAGTTTATTGCTATAAGTTAGTATAAAAATTGATAAATTAGTTATATATTTTTTATTACTAAAATATTTTATTTATTAATGTTTTAATTTGTAATTACATTATAAAATATCTAACAAATATTGTTAATACAATTAGTAATTCATTGAAAATTGAGAAAAATTGCACTAAACTAACAAAAATAATAATTTACTATTTAATGGTTTTATTATATAGTGAATGAATTCCCGAGTGATACCCAAGTCTATCAATGTTTAAGTACTTATTTTGTTCTTTAAATATATTTTGTTAACAAAAAAAATTGAGTAAAACTTTATATAATTAGAAACACCTCTTTGTGTGATTGCTATTGAAATAAACTTACTTTCAACACAAAATCAAAATTAGGTTTTATAGCAATCAGTGAAAGAAACTTATTTTAATTATAACATATTATTTACAAACAATGCTTTAGTAAACAAATTTTTATATAATTAACAAATTTTTATATAATTAACAATAACTAATTTTTATATATCTGTTAAAGTAATTCTTACAGATATTGAATAATTAATTTGTAATATAAATTAATAAATATATTTACTAGTTAATGAAAAATTGTTTATATAATGTATAATGTTTGTGTAATGTTTGTTTTATTTAGATTAATGAAATAAAATTAATGATATTAAAGCATAAATTAATATCTAAATTAAGAATTAGTTTGCGGTTGTTTTTTGCAAATTGAATAAAATTGAATAAAATTTATGTAATAAATCTATATATAATGAGACAATTAATAATTTTATTGTATTTATTTATATTTGTGCTCAATATCTATATTAATGATTTGATGATATACAGCTAAAAATATTTTTAATTAATATAAGACTATTAAGAAAATTTTGTTCGTCAAAACAGTTTTATTATTATATAATTAAACAATTAATATACAAATAATAATCTCTAACTTCTCTATAGTAACCAATAATATGAGTTTTTTTTAATACAAAATGTATATGTTATATGATTTTATTAATATTAATCTATTAAAATCTATATATAAATACAGTATATATATATATATTATTAAAACATACAATATTTATAGAATAAGCATAACTATATTAATTTATTAAAATATAAATTACATTGAATTTAATGGGTGTTTAACAAATAAAAATTTGCATAAAATATAAAAGTAAATTTCTCTCAATTTAAGTCATTTTTATACATATAAAGCTTTATTTTTAAGCTTTTGTTAATAAAATAAAAATGGTGGTTTTATTTTAAAAAACAGTTTTACTTTCTTAATACCAATATCATATTATTTATTATATCATACATTATTTACAATTTAAATACAATTTAA